TTCAGTGGTGCAATCTCGGCTCACTGCAACCTCCGCCTCCCAGGTTCAAGTGATTCTCCTGCCTCAGCCTCCCAAGTAGCTGGGATTACAGGCACCTGCCACCACGCCTGGCTAATTTTTGTATCTTTAGTAGAGACGGTGTTTCACCGTGTTGGTCAGGCTGGTCTCAAACTCCTGACCTCGTGATCCACCCGCCTTGGCCTCCCAAAGTGCTGGGATTACAGGTGTGAGCCACCATGCCCGGCCCTCCATACTGTTTTCTGTAAAGGCTGCCCTCACTCACATTGCTACCGTATAGTGTGTAAGTTTCCCTCTCCTCCACATCCTCTCCAACACTTGCCATCCTCCTCTTTTCGGTGGCAGCCATCCCGACAGGCACGAGGTGCCAGTGCCTGTGGTTGTGATTTGCATTTCCCTGATGACATTCAGCCCCTTTTCACGTACCTGTGGGCCATTTGTCTGTCTTCTTTGGAGAAATGTTTGTTCAGATCCCTTGCCCATTTTTAGTTGGGTCATTTGTTTTTTGTTTGTTTGCTGATTAAATACTTAGCACTCAAAAAGGACCTAGAGTGAAGAGGCCCTGTGTTCCTCTCCATCAGTGTTGATAGGAAGCGTAGGCAGGGTGGCCATTGTTCCACACCTGTGGGTGATTTGATGGGTGAAGGAGAGAGTGAAGCTGCAGCGGGTGCATCTGTTACTAGGGCTGACATCACGAGGTATGGCAAACTGGTTGTTTTGAAACCACAGGAGCACGTCCCCTCGCAGTTCTGGAGCCTGGAAGTCTGAGATCCAGGTGTGAACAGGGCCACACTCTCCAAAGCCTGCGGGGGAAGATCCCACACGGCCCCTGCAACTTCCCGTGGCTGCCTGCCATCCGGGGTGTGGCTTGGGTGGCCACAACGCTCCGTCTCTACCTGTCTGTGCATGGCCACTCTCTGTGTCTGTGCCTTCTTGAGGTGTTTCCCTTTTCTTCCAAGGACACAGTCACGTTGGATTGGGACCCACTCTCGGCTCAGTTGCATCTGCAAAGATCCTGTTTCCAAATAAGGCCATATTCATAGGTACCGGGGTTAGGACGTCAATATAGGCTGTGGGGAGGACAGCGTTGAACCTGTAACAAACAACAATATGGTTTTTAAATCTACAATCAGTAAACTTACTCAGGTCAAATAACAGCCGAAGTCTGCATTTCTTGTTCGTTGGATCACTGTCTGAATTACTGAATTTGTCCACTTGCTGCTGCTGAACAGCCATCAGGAGACCCCACCGCAAGCTGCTGTGCCCCTGCCAGGCGCGTCGGGATGGGTTGGGCTCACAGAGCCTGGCTGCAGGCTTTAACCCCAGTGTTTGGTGGTCTCTGGGAACCACTGGGCTGACCACTTCCATTCCTGCTGGAATCATAAACAGCAAAGCGCAGCGTCACTCCCCTCCCCACCCCAGGCCCATAGAGCTGGCACGGCTGGAGCCTTCAAGGGGGATGCCGAGGCATGGGGACGCTGCATTGAAGAAGCATGTATAATGGGGGAGTGTCAGTTCTTCTCTGAAGTGTGGTGCCAGCTGTCCGCGCTTGGGATCCGGCACTTGCGGCTCATTCTGAGTCCATGTTGGTGGCTTTGGTTCGATCCAGGGCTGGTGGTGGATGGTGGCACCTGCTTCTGCTCCAGGAGGGGGTAACCCCAGACTCTAACCCTGCAGTCTGAGGGTGTCGTGGGTGGTTACGAAATCCCACAGTGCCCAGGGACACTCTGCCACCAGCCAAGGTCGGGGTCTGCCCCTCCAGCACCTCCAGTCAAGTGCCTGACACACAACAGGTGCTCGGGTATGCAGGTGTTTGGGTGTGCAGGGGCTCGGCTGTGCAGG